CTACCTCCACAAAGGTTGGAGCAGAATTTTTTCACTCCTTAGGGTCCTGCAGCTCAGAAGCCAACATGTCCAGCTTAAGGCAGGGAATCCGTTTCAAGCAAGCGGCGGCTAGAACCTCGGCGTCAGTGCGTTAACGCGAGATTCTCCCTGCTACTTCTGGGCGCTGCAGCGTCTGTTTAAAGTTTTTGGGAAGTTGGGAAGTGGTCGAAAAGCAACTAAATATTGTAATCCTGTATCCGTCTTCAGCTTGAATGGTTTCTGCATTGACCTCTTCCGTGCTCTGTTAGATCTCGTTTTCCTTGGCCTTCCCAGCTCCGACCAGTCTTTAACCGTGCGCATGCGGTGCAGGCCGCAATTGCCGCCAACAAAGGCAAAAGCCCGCTGAAGCCCGCTCCAATGGTCATCCGAGTATTTACCATAACGGGAACCGGCCGACTGTAACAGAGCTGTGTAACCGTGTAACAGAAACCTACCCCGACATCGTAATGCAAAGCAGCTGGTTCCTGTATCAGGGTGGGGACAGCCACTTGTAGCAGGAACTGCGGTTGGGGCTTAGGTACGGCGCAGGGCTTCGTAGTCTGCGGCTTAGGGTCAGCACAGGCGTTACTGGTGTTTAGAGGGATGTAGAAGGCATCTTTGGACGTTCTGCTTGGCCTGCCCCGGGGGGATCGTTTTTCGGTCCCTTGTTTGTACTTTGCGATCATAAATAAAAGCCTCCTGCCCAGTTTCCCCGGTCTGTTACGCTGGTGGTCTGGTTGCTGTTGCTGCGGCCGCCCGTCTCTGTTATAAAAGTGTGAGATTGGTTTCCGTTGCTCCCAAATCGGTTCCCGTTACTCTCCACACCATGGTCATCCCCTACTCATGTAAAAGCCAGCCGCTCTTGCAGGCATTCCACGAGCGGGGCGTGACTTTCGAAATGCGAGTGCCGAAACAACAGCTGCGCATCTCGCAGTTGGATTGTTGGAATCGGTGGCCAAGGTTGGCAGGATCTGCTATAGGCATGCGTGCGCTGCGCCGCACATGCTTGTCGTTGAATTGATGAACCTGCCTCCGTCGTGCTTTCCCTGTCATAGATGCCCAAGACAGCCTACTCTTGTTTTGTTTATGGCTCTAGAGTGAGTCGATCATGAAAGTTTTCCAATCGGGACCATATATCATATATCAGTCAGAACTCGTAAGCTACTCAAGTTTCAAAACAGACAACATATGAACTTCGACATAGCCTTGCAGCCTAAAGTCAGACATAGCGGACATAGCGGCAGTCCGCGAGCAGAATGACAGCTCCGGCATCGAAGATCGACGCTCGCCTGCAATGAATGCGAAAAGAACGTTGTAGCTAAAGCAACTCCAGCCATGCAAGGAGGATGAAATTACCCTCGTGACTTGGCTGCTTCCAGCGTCGAGTCAGCCTGTCCAGAACAGATGGCCGAACTTGGCATAAGTTGAAGACAACTTGCCTTCAGGCTTCTCTTCCCTTTGCTCCTCCGACATATCGAGAGCATCGTGCCTGGAAATTGCGAGCATCTGCGAGCCTTTGGCAGAGTTTGTCGCTCTATCGTCGCGAATTGGCTGACAAAGTCCAAGCTTCATGTATTCATGTGCCGAGGCAATGCCAACCAAAGTGCTTGGCAATGCGAGTTCCATTCTGGCCTTGATTATTGCCGCGCCATAGCTTAATTTTAAAGTTTGAACCAGCCACGAACAAGCCACGGCAACGCCTGCAGACTCTCGCATGAGCGATTCGGACCTCCATGTCCGATCTCAGCCGTATCAGGTCGACATGCTGAGCCAACTGATGTCCGAGCAGACGTCAGCATGCAGATCTGCCAAGCAGAGTGCCTAAAGCTGTCAGCCTGCGCAGGGATTTCTCACGACGGCACCTGGTTTGCAGTACTTTGCTTTCGGGTTGCGCTATGGCTATGGGCAGACAGAGCAGTGGTGCGCCGTTCAGTTCTGCAGCTGAGGCAGTGATTGCGATTTATGGACGGAGGAATGTAACTTCACGTCTCTACCAGCAGGCAACTACACACTCATGCCTCTTGGCTTCATCTGTAGCTGTTGCTGCGCTCATACCGACCAAGCCAAACCAGTGCTGCAGAGGTCGCAGAGCTGCTTCGCGACAGCGAGTGCCACAGGGTGGGCCGCCCCAGCCTGACAAGCTTGGTGAACCTGCAACGAATGCGACAGGTTTGGCTTGGTGCCGAGCCCTCAGCAACTACGGAGTGACTTCGGGCGGTTCTTACGAGTTGGAAGATTCAATAATTAGGTGGGCATAAGTCGGCAATCGAAGAAAGGATGGGCCGCCCCAGTGCCATACGACGCTTGCGCATTGCAGCGCTGACTCCGCCTGGCCGCCGGGGGCTCCGTGACAGTGGTACCATTGGCGAATCTCAACCTTACTTCTGAACTGCCACACAATGCTTCTGTGGCAGTCGTCGTGTTTGCTGGTGATGAGGTGATGGCCGAGAAATGGTTAACGCCTGGCTCATATTTGTCGCACTGGCCTTAAGCTGTGAGCACTGAATGCTCCCGGCAGGCTGGCAGTAAGAATCGTGCTTGCAGGAAGCGCTGAATCGCCGTGGCGGGCTTCAAATTGGCAGAGCCTCAGCTTGGTTTGAGTTTCAGGAAATGCAGCTTGGCACCTTCGGATTCGGAAGATGAAGAACGTAGACTTTGAGGCTGCGAGGTTGAGCGTTCAGTCATGTCAGTCATGAGAAGAACCCTTCCAAAGCCTGGTGCAACGGAGCAGATGTCCGCTAAACGGAAGCTCGGGGCAAGGAGCAAAGTATCTGCTTGAGCTGCTCCTGGCCGATGAGCAGGACAGAAGCTGACGTGGAGGCAGGTGCCTTTGTGTTCGCTGTGTTGAAGGACGGATGGCAAATCGCCTCCGAAAATGACATTCCCTACCTCCTCGGTCGGTGGAGACGCTTGTCGAGCTTTCGCGGAGATGTTTTTGCGACCGAGCGGATATGCTTGATGGTGGGCATGGCGCACAACCTAGACCGAACTTATTGAACGGTTTGCATCAGGATCTTCCGGGGATCACGCTGTCCCCATCGTATCTCGGAGCTTTATGCTTTAGCTGAGTTTTACGACGAAGTTGTCTCATACTCGAGGAATCCCACTGCATGCCCATCAGGTTACGGCGACGTCTGGCACAGACACCCATCCGCAGTTGCCCCAGGTGGGTCGCCAAACTGCAACAACAGCACAACTAGCATCATGACTCTGCTGGAAGCCTAATCAGATTGCAGATCGTCCTGCGAGACGCCAATGCAGGCCTTCAGCTTTCGGAAGAACCTCACCGAGCGCCATATAGAACCTTGGCAGCCCTGGTTAGCTGTGTTGCCAAAGTGCAGCACATCGGCTCTTCGTTGGTGCTCAGGCGGAGAGCTCGGACGGAGATGACATGAAATCGGTCAGAGCTATATACACACACACACATATGGATAAAGAAATAACCGTATGCAGACAATCGAAATGAAACACTGTCACCGCTCCGCGTCGTTTGCTTTCGGCCGTTATGGCAAGAGTTGCGAGGAGTCCTCTCGCGAGCAAACTCAGCCCAGTAGTCAGTGCAGAACTTTTTGGGAAAGAAGGCAATGCTGCTGCAGAGCGTGCGCGGCGTTGGTGGTATCTCGGTGCTGACGGAGCCCGGCGTGGAAGAGTAGCCGCCTTACTGGGCATGGTGATGAACTGGACTTGGGCTGTTCTTAACTGGATATTCACGACTGTGACTGGCTCGTGGTGAGGCTTTGTGCGGTATCACCGGAGCTCCTGAGTGAGTTGGGTCTCTCGGACCCATGGCAGCAGCAGGTTCTTACCAGCCGCTAGCTATTTTGCCGAAATCGTTTTTGGTACCGGAAGCTGTCAGTTGAGAGATTCGGAAGGTCAGTGGTAGGTGGACATGGCAGCTCAGCGGCGCCAGCGCCGACTTCTTCGGCAACCTGGAAGGCTGGCAGCCATCGGAGGGGGAGGCGGTTTCGACTGCGGCGGCTTGTCAGACATGCACTGGTCTGCACATACTCGTAGAGCAGTGTTCGACCGTAGTCTCGTTTGACTGTTGTTACAGTAACGCCAATAGAACAATGACACTTTCGTTCGTCCAGCGCTGAAGTGCACAGCAACTGCTTTGGCGCTGAAGGGCAATAAAGGTCCGAGACGTTCGAAGCTGTGTGTCGCGTGTCGGTGGTTCTGGAGCTGGAAATCTTGACCGGATAGACCTAAGATTAAGGAGACCCTTTCCCGGCTCCTCCGAAGTGTGTTGCGACTCGCAGCGACTCGCGAGCAACCGCTGAAGCTCGAACTCCGATATCGCACACATAGGTGCAAAGGACAAAGGCCTCACTTTTGCTTTTCCTTCAACGGCTCTGCCAGCTGCCAGCCATGACAGCTTCTGAAGTGAAGGCTAAGCGTGACAGCAGACGGGTTGACGTTCTCAGGGTCGGGCTGCCAATGCTGTCATACATCCCGTTGTAAAAAAAAAGGCGACTCAGAGAGGAGATCATCTAAGAGAGAACTCAGAAGCTTTAGAAGCTTCTTGTCTGCCGGCAGGTGCGATCCTTCTAGCATGCCTCGAAACCGACAACACAAGGAGGCCATTTCTTGCTGAGTTCACACTTTCTCCCGTAGAGCCTCGGCTGAAGGTTAGTCACAGAGCTCAAGCACCGAGGATGGGCCCCGAGCTGTCATTGCTAAAACTGTGCTTGTTTCGTGCGTGCCAACTGCTCGGTCGTACGCAGGTGTGTTTCCAGCCGCGGTGCTGCTGCCGTTTGCAGAGCTTTCGACCTTAATGACGGACATGGGTCAGGATGCGATCCTCGACTGTCCATCTCAAAGACTCTTCAACAGCGGAAGTGTCGCTTGCGGATCGATGCAAGGAACTGGCTCCTTGGAATGGGGTGTTGGGCCGCTGGTCCTGTGCACGGGCATCAGCCGCTTAGCCTCAGGCCCCGACCTGCTCGCGTCACTCAAGTGCTCGTGGCAGCTTCCCTCCGCGAGGATCGACTACACTCGCGCCGCCTTTGTGGCGGCATATCAGCAGCGCTTCTTCGCTCCTCGTCAGCGAGAAATTCCTGGCTGTGTGTGTGTGTGGGCGGGTGGAGGAAGCCTGTCACCAAGGGAAGCAACCTTACAGCATTTTTTCCAGCAGGGGGCAGGAGCTCTCCCTGGCAAAAACTGCCAATGAAGATGAATGAAGATGCTCCCCAGGGAGGGGTGTAAGTGTACTTACTGTGGCACACCGAGACGGTGACGTCCATAGCTGGTGGCCACGTTTCAGCCTAACAGTCTATGTGGCTCAAGATCTTTACCTCTGTAAATAGGAAAACGGAGACAAGCCCAAGTCAGAGGGAGGATTGCACAAGTGTGTATCTCGACGGTTTTTCACTGCTATCTCCTGCGTGGTTGCACAACCTCACAAGACTGACGACACAACTCTTCAACTTGGGGCTCAAGGGCGGTATAGAGCCTCCTTCCAGGGACGCCCCA